CTCGGTTCATGCCCCGTCCCAAAACCATATTTCTAAAAAATAAAAAAAAAAAAAAAAAAAAAAACTTTATTTCAGTCTGACTAAAAACAAGGGTCTCACCGGTCCTGCTGGTCCAGGAACAGTAGTGTAGGGAGGAGAAGGTCCAACAGGTCCAGTGGGAGGAAGATGCACAGTGTCAGACGTACTCTGAGAAATACAAGGAATACGGAGGGACAGACGCGTTACGTTGCAAATCTTTCCATCGGACCGCAACCGTGTCTTAAATTTGAGCAACGGTGCAAAATACAGATGCAAAAAAAATGTTTTTTTGCCCATGTTACGTGTGGTATTCAACATTAGTTTCCTTGTTTCAGTGTAGAAGATTAAACTGTTAAAATTAAAACCAAAATAGCTACATTTTGTAAAGGGTGAAAGGCTTAAGGTTAGCTGAAAAATAGCTAAAATTATTAGCTATCAGATTAACTCATTTGCACCAAATAGAAATGGATAAAAAGGTAAAGGAAGCAAAAAAAAATGTGAGCTGAAGTTACAACAGAAAAAGGCCCCCGGGTTGAATTGGTTATAATGTAAGAATACATTTGGGAAACTGTCTATTCACCTGGTTGGTTGTAGCCATCGTGGCCTTTTTTTTAAAGATCTTCTTCCGGCAACAGCAGCAGACTCCGGCCGGGATTCCCAGCAGCAGGAGCAGAGCCAATAATGGGTTTCCGTCATGGTGGTCTGCAGTGACAATGAAGAAGTGAAGGTGCGACATTTACATCACAACAGTCACATTTACCGAAACATTTATTTCACGTAGACTAAAACATTACACTAAATAACAAATAACAAGTATACATTTAAATTCATGCTTATTAATTATGATAATAATTATTATGTATTAATTATCATTTTTAACATATGTCAGCATGCCTGCCTTGCAAGAAGAGAGCAGAGAGCCCTTGCTTCGATTCCCAAAAGAAACCACACGTCGCTAACGGTGCCCCCAGTGGCAGCCTGTGTTGGTTGCAAAGACTCACTCTGTAAATTTCCCCATTCCCCATGAATAAGGGACTCAATTAATATTATTCGGGGAGGGTAAAAAAAATATCGAAAAAAAAAATTGGGATATACACGCTAACAACTACTGTCTGATTTTACTGCTATTTCTTGCATCATGCTAGTTCTATTATTTTTTTATTTTTATTTCATAAATCACCATGGCACCGAAAAATGCTAGTGAAAGTAGAAAGGCGCAAAGAAAAATCGTGAGGACAGCAATAGAAGTGTATACGAAAGCGTGAGAGTATCGTTTATGACTTAGCATAGTCGTCAATTTGTACCATCCTTAAGAGCAAGGAAAGAAGGATGAAGCTAAGGTTACCAAAGGAGTGACTGTGATCACAAAAGCAAAGCTCTCAGACATGAGAAGAAGTGGGAAAAAAGTTGCTACTGATTTGGATCACCCAAAAACAGTTGGCCGGCGACAGGGAGAATCATTTGTGAGAAGGCGAAGCGAACGTTGCGCAATCACAACTCCTCAGCACCGGTAAGGATGAATGAACAGTTGTAACAGTTGCTGAGGACCTTCACTGGCTCACCTGTCAGCTCCATCTTGGTTATGGACACCACCCGGCCCTTGCGGTCTCTCAGTGTGTACAAGCCCTGGCTGGTATTCGTTAGTGTGATCTCAATGCCTGAGTACGAGTGGGTTTTAACCTGACCCCCAAAGTTTATCAGGTTTCCCTGCTGGATCATACCATCACGAACCTGAAGGTGAGACAATCTTTCCGTTAGTTCCCCCACCTCAAATGAATCATTTTTTTTAACATTTTCATTTATTAGAGAAAATTGCACTGACTGATTTGGTTTTATTTACTTTGTTGAAGATTTGTAAGGCGCAATAGCCGTAAACGTTGTCGATAGGGGACAGTGTCCAACTCTGGGAAGGGGAAACCATTTACCTGTAACTGTCATGTATTTCTGCTCTAGTATATTTTTGCTCAAGTTATATTTAACTAATTTTTGGATACATGTGCAGTATGCGAAGATTTAGCATGTTTTTGCCGCTTGTGACTTACTTGTACTTCCTGTTACAGGTAGAGCCTTATATTTTATCACTGTACTTCCTGTTTAGATTCTTAAACAAATATAATTCAAATCTCGTTGCGTGCATAATATTTTGCTATTTATTATGTTAAGATAGCATAAATAACTTATTTCTACTTGAGACACAATAGTCACAAGTAGAAAGGTTTAATTTCTAATTATTATAATATTTCTACTTATTTCTACTTGAGACACGATAGTCACAAGTAGAAAGGTTTAATTTCATCTAAGTATAAGTTCTAAAATACATGTTGAGCAATAAAAAAGAAATCTATCTGAATTGAAATATTTAGAGGGAGGGGCCCCCCTAGGGGGCGCAGTGAGAGAAAAAATATACATGGTGTTCGGTTCTCAATAGTATTTCAATTCGCGATTGGGGTGGCTTAAAAACATTTCTGTCCCCAAGGGGTGGGCGTGGCCAGAAAATAATTAAGAACCACTAATTTAGAGACAGAAGGACCTGTAGAATGATTTTTCACGGCCCGTCATCTGTTCACGCTCTCCCACTCACCAGTGTTACGTTTCCATCCTCTCCAGTGTAAACGAGTGTAGCCTCGTAGAGCTGTATGCCCTCCATGGAGATGTAAAAACTCTCGTCCAGCATTCGCTTCTCATAGATATGTCTGGCTGGAAAAAAAGAAAATATAATAATATAATATAGTGGAAAATGAAGCCTTTATCAGCTCCAACAAAAAAAAAAAGGGTTACATGACTCACGTGTAACTACAACTCGCACAGTGGAGATGAGGTTGTCCCATAGATCTGCCTGAATGTAGGATCCCTCGTCCTCGTAAGTCACCTGAAATGTCACACATGAAGTTTGAGAAATAAACAATTAAAAGTGTCGTAGACGTAACAGCAGACAAAAATTGAAAAATGTTCTCTCAGCGAAAAAAAAAAAAAAAAAAAACTTCTTACCTTGTCTAGGTACCAGCGTCGTTCACTTCCTGTGCCGGACACGTGGCCTTTAGTGGACCTGCGGAGGATGACAGGAAAGACAGTCATGACACAGGTGTCTTTATTATTCAAAAAGTCTTTCAGACAACAATAAAACATCAAAATTCCACACGCACAGTGTGATAATTTGGGGCCTTAGTTCTCAAAAGAAAGGTGAAAATTAGGTTTTGATTGTCGGTAAAATATCTCAAGAGTATGCTCTGTTGATATACATGATGTAATTAAATAGGGATTGTAAAAAAAAAAAAAAAATTCCTTTATTTCTGTCACACTTTTGGCCACTGATACACACACTCCAGCCCAGTAGATGGCAGTATTGTATTTCAATTTTGTTTTTTTGGTGCAGCCAGTGATGCCGCCGTATACAAAAGTAACGGTAATGCAAAATACTGTTTCTTACGTGGTCCGGCCTTTCACCCAGTACACATTGCGGGCGCCTACATCATGCGCTGGCTCAAAAACCAATGAATGACAGTTCTTGGACAGATAGATTTTCAGCATGCGACCATGGGCCAATCGCTCACGACCGTGGACGCCATAGGATTCTTTAAAAAAAAAAGAGAAACAAAGAGGCACAAGTTAACGTCTGCGAGGTCCCTTCCGACCCCATCCTTCAAGAATGCTAACCCGCCCGCGTGGAGCTAATTCAGTATTGTTGTTTTGGTTCAAGGAGTGAATTAGAGGATACTCACCCACGTGTAGAGCAGCAGATGCAGCCAGCAGTACCACAGCAATCCACATCATCTGCAGACAAGACGGATATTATATTCTACGTCCAAGTGTTTTTTAAACCATTTCCCAAATTTTAAAGAACGTGTCCACATTCTAACATTCGCGTCGTCACCTACTGGCAAAACTACTAGAGCTGAGCTCAGTGTTAAAAAGCAAATCACCTTTAAATGTGAGTGATTACAGCGTGAATGTCTGGGCCATTTTTTTTTTTTTTTGCACATGCACATATATGAACACAAGCTGCCAATTGGCATTATAAGTATTAATATTAGAGATTTCAAGGTTAAAAAAAAAAGTACTACTTTTAAAACAATGACAAAATGGACATCCAATACCAACCCTTGAAATTCCAATTTTTTTTATGTACATTTACTTTGATAAAAATATTCCGTGTATGTATCAAATCCTTCCATTCATATTCAGTAGATTTAGTTTTTGTTTTGCAGTCCTAGATCTGCGCAGACTGCATTGTAACACCTTTAATTTAAAGCTTTGTCAAAAAAGGGTCTACAGCAGGCGTTGGCAAACTTTTTGACTTGTAGACCACAATTGTCCTAAAACTGAACAAGGGGACCCGGGTCAGGAGCAGATAGATAGAGCGTTTGTGTGAACCAAGATAAATGACATGTAAAAGTCATGCATAAAGGCTAAAATACTTTTCCTATGCCATCTATTGGGGAAAGGTTGGTATTGCAGGGAAAGGGCAGATGTATAATGATTATATAAATTAAAGTTTGGCGGGCCAGATTAAAAAGCTGAACGGGCCGCATCCGGCCCCCCGGGCCTTAGTTTGCCCATGCCTGGTATACAGTATGAGATCAAACTGTCACTGTCAGAGTCTTACTTTTTTTTTAGTTTTTCTTTACTTTTTCTATGGACGAAAACTTTCCTCCTCTCCGCCAAGAGAAACTTGGCCACTTTAGCCGCAATTCCTTCGCAGAGATTCAGACATTACTTTACTTTCAGACTACCGCTTCCGATGTTTGTTTGATTAATTGATTGGAGTAGCTGTTGTTGATCTTCGGGGGTCACATGACTCTGCTAAAACCTGCTGATAAGGGTCGGTGTTCAAACACTCACACGCAACCTCCAGTGATTAGTGATAACCTGAGTGAAGTGGTTTACTCATTGACCTCCTTCCGTTCCAACAGTGAAGCTGCTTCTGTTTAGGTTTGGGTTCTAGATGTAGCATTACTACAGTTTATAATCAAAGAAATGATCAGAGGTTTTCCAAAAATATCAGGTTTTGCTATTTTTTTTTTTTTTTTACATTTTTATGGGCAATAAAATACCTTATTATGCCAAATTCCTCGATCCTCAAATAGAGAAACTGCGGTTTTACTACGCAAATTGGATTACTTAATTCAATTTGCATTGACGTTTTAAAGAATGAAGTAGATTTTTTTTTTTTTTTATGACATTTTAAAGAATGAAGTAGATTTTATTTGTTTTCAATGCTCATCTCCAGCTGCATTCTCCACAGTCTGCAACCAGACACAGCTGCATTCTCCACAGTCTGCAACCACCTTTGGCTCAGCTGCTGCTTTTCTATTCTGAGTCGGTACTGGAGCTTAAATTAGCACAACAGCGCCAGAACAGTATGCAACTGGTATTCATGTCAATTGATAAAAAAACAAAACACTGTAGGTGAATTCACACGTTACTATAATGACTGGCTGACAACAGCTTTTTCTATTTTAAATTTCAAACGAACGCTGTAAGTATAAAACACTGAGAGGTTGACAGTTTGTTTAAAAAATGTATGTAAAATTAAGTTTTGTGAATGAAAAAAAAAGTATTTAATAATAGTTACTAGTAAGTATTAATAGTTGCTCAATCTGTGCACCTTATTTTAATCTGCACAAAATAACAACACTTCTGTCGGCAAGTTTCAAATAATTATGTGTGCAGTTTGAAGTTCAATTTCACATGGTGGGCAAATTTGATACTTCTTTGTCCAATTATTAACATAAAAACTAATAAAAAGACCAAATTGTTGTCATTTATATTGTATGTTTAATTATGGACCAGTTGCTTTAGAATCGTTTGTGAGTGTGTCACGGTTTTAAAATGGCGTTCTTTCAAAAGTGTCCAGGTATAATAATCATGCATTGCATTTCTGTGGACCAAATGTAGCTGCCTCTTACTGAGACTAAATCATTGGGGTTATACTTTTACTGCAGTGAATAACTGGGAAGTTTTCTCAAAAACAATGGTTTCCAGGATGCGTTTTTTCCCTGACTGAACCTGAAGGCCTCGTAACAAAGCAAATGTGGGGAAGGGAGGAGTTTCCCTCTGGTGGTATGCCAGACCATGAAGAAAATCAGTGAGCAGCACAGCAAACTGCCTAGAGACACAAACAGAAAACGTCCCTGTCCAGTCACACCTCTTTCTAGAGTTAAACGTCCCTCAGTTTGACATTTGTTGAAAGCTAGGACACTCGCCGGGACAGTTTTAAAACTGTGTTTTTGAATAAGAAATGCAGCAAAAAAAAAGAGGCGGAAAGAGTTGAGGTGCTCGTGTTTCCTAAACCACCAAAAGAAAAACTGCTTCAATGCTGTGGTTTATCCCGAAATATTTATATAACATTTATATGCATATTACTTTCACGTACTTTGTTTTTATGTTTTAGATATAGATATGTTTTTAATATCATCATGTTTTTCTCGACCAAAATGCTTAATTGGATCGGTGACATTAGCTCAACTTCGTATGTGCAACGGCTTCCTCCAGTGTTTACATGTAAATAATATAAAACATAACTCAATGCCCATTATATCCTCCATAACTCTAAGCGTTTAATGAAAATGTGATAGAAATAGAACTTGTTGCATACAAGGTTTGTTTCGGTGGTGAATGGGGGAATGGCAAATAAGCAAGATGCCATTTAAGTTGCTATCAAACAAAGCGATACCAAGGTAGTAAGGATTCAATTATCACGGGTCATTAATAAAAAAAAAACGGGGCGTGGCCTCAAACACAGTATTGATGCACACCAAAGCGAATGATGAATAAATTGTTATCCAAAAACAAAAGACATTATATAAAGCGAACGCGGCCGCATGCGGCTCGGTTATTAGCAAGTGTGCGCGGCAGCCGCGCGGCAGGACCTCTACGTAGGACGCCACAGCACTGGGATGAGAAAATGCCCCGCCCTAGTCTGTCCAATAACCATCAATAAATAGCAATAAATAATACATTTCAGAAACGTTTCTCGGTAATTGTCATTTTAAAACCTGATACTGTTGCATTCACTCGTGATAAATTCGCGGAGAGCAAATTCATTGCCGAACATATATAATGATTATAAAACTCGATAGATTCTCCATGATTTAACAGTGAAAAAGAAGCTTTGTTTGTTCTGAATCAATTACCTTGTCTGTTGACGGTCTTTCGGCCTTGGAGTGACTCGTTAAAAGGTTCGTCCAAAGATTCTGGACCTCCTGTAAGTGAAGGCGACGGTGTCGACGTCTTTAACACACAGTAAAAAGGGGGAGTGACCGTGCTGCCTTCAATGTTCCAAAGGAATAGTCGGAAATACCAGAGATTTTTTTTAAGGTTGCGGATTTTGAAAAGACGATTAAGTGTCACTTCATTTTTGTAAAGATACTTGCTCACGGAAATACACGTTTTGAAAAAATAAAATACCTACTCTAGGTTCATATCTAAAAAAAAAAAAAAAGTCGAAATTGGCGACAGAAAACCTATTTTCAGATTTAAAAATGAAACAAAATCTCAAAGTTTTACCAATGTAACGGTAGGGTACTTTCTAAAAAAGAGCCGGAGGCTGGTCGTCAATTTTTGCACTTTTTGTTAATTTGTATATTGACAAGTGAATGTTATATACATTAACAATCCAATAGGGGGCAGTGACGCTCATGTGCAGTGATTTTTACAAGGCCACTTATCTGACAGAGTGGTCAATAGTGTTTTATTTTTAATACTTTTAATAATTCCCGGTCTGATTGTGGTGTATATACTTTTGGTATAAATATTTTTTGCACTATACGTGTATTTATTTGTTATTAATGTGTCTCGTCGTAATACTGAAATGCAGGTGTTGTTTTTTTTTTACAACTCAAAATTCAATATTACAGTTAGTAAAAGCTCTCCCGAAGAAGTGCACGAGATAAATATTAATTTATTGTTTAGAAAAAAAAAAGACCTGATTCAACTAAATATGTTTAAGTCAACATAAAAAATGTTCTTTACCATCGATCTATTTGAACTTTGTTTATCAGTTAGAGACATGTTTCATAAAAGCAAGCGAGTTTCTTCATTTACAAGGAAAATATAACACACAAATGCATCCCAAAGTCTTTATGGTAAGTAAAGTATATTTTTTATGTTTATTGGTGTTTTTACACCTATCTTACACCAGGTTGTTTTTTATTTTCACCTTTTACAATTGCTAAGATATTGTTTCCAATTGATGTGGGGGAAAAAAATGTGTAAAGATCAGCATATGGTCCTTAAGTCCTGTAGCACAGAGAGAGGCTGTGTGGCGTGGTAGTGTGTTATCGTCTTGAGTACTATTGTCCTAATCCGTTCTTAGAGGATAGAGGCTTACTGCAGCCCCAGGTTGGATGGATGAATATTAGCTCAGAGAGTAAAATCTGTTTTCTGTTTTTTTTTATTTACTTTTATGTTCTTTTAAATACATTTTTTACTTCTTCGAAAGGCCTTTTTTTCCATCTTTAGTAATCTGTATTTCTACTTTTTTTTTTTTTTACTCTCTGTCGCTCCCTCTGACAGCTGACCTCAGGTCAGATCTTGTCCAGGATTAATTGAAGAAGCTCCAGACTCACAAGGAAGCCATTTTAACAGCTGAGGACCGTGAGGTTGTTTTCTCATCATCACGCCATTCATCGCTTTCTCACCATTTCTTGGGGGTTTTTTGTTGTCAAGATGAAGGACCGTTTGGCTCAGCTAAGGGAGGTAAGGTGCTAAGTTTTTGCGCGTGTGTGAAACATTTCTCAACATAGGCCTAACGCATTACCACTATATGGAGGAATGAATGAGCATGGACAGGCAAAGTTGTGCTAAACCAAGTCTAGATTGTTAAAAAAAACCAAAATAATATATATATATATATATATATATCCATCCATCCATCCATTTTCATCCGCTTATCCGTTACCGGGTTGCGGGGGCAGCAGTCGCCACCCAAATCACATTGCACCATACCTAAACCTTCCTGCGGGTGGTGAGTCCACTGGAATACTTATATATATTATTTATATATTAATTATATATTTTTTATTTTTGTTCTTAGGCTAGAAAATGCTTATTTAAACTCAAACATAATGAAAATATAGGAATTTTAAAAATAATTATTTAGCACAAGAATACATTTAAAATATTAAAAATTTGCAATGCACTGAGGGCACGAACCACAATACAGCGAGGTACGACTGTAGCTAAAAGAAAATTAGCTCAGAAATAGCATCTAATTATCCCCAAAATATCAATTAATCTGAAACTAGAACATTTGAACAGTTTTGTGGAAACNNATATATGTATATTGTGGACCAGGGATGTCCACACATTAGATTGAATGATTTAAAATGTACATAAGACCAAAACACTTTTTCTATTATACTTAAAACTGTTTACTTTCTTGTATTGTATTTTATCAGCCATAAATCTGAATTTGAACAACACTTATAGTATACAGTAATAGGTAAACACTATGTGAAAGAAAAAAAAAACATGTCAAATATTTACAAAAAATAATTGTTGAAATTAGATGAAAAATGTTTAAATAAGAGGTGGAGCAGAGTTAAAATGTGTTCACTGCACCTCAGACATGAGAGAACTAACTTTTATTTTCAGAAAATGTAGGACTATTAAATGAATAACTCAGCAATGACGACACTTAGCTTAACACAGTACTTCTCAAATAGTGGGGCGAGTCCCATTGGGGGTGTGGTGAGGTGTGGTGAGGTGCCGTGGGTGGCGGGCGGGAGAGGCTTCCAACGAAAAACCGCAGGTTGTTTTTTCAATGAACCGCAGGCTGTTCATTAGTAATAGGTGAACACTGTGTGGGGGCGTGAAAACATTTCTATCCCCAAGGGCGGGCCATGACAGAAAATAATTGAGAACCACTGGCTTGACGTAACTTAATATTGTGCACAGATTTTTCCAGGTTCTTTATAAATAGTTGAATATTACCTAACAGGGGAAACAAACACGGTCTAAAAACCTTCCCACGTGTTCTAAGTTTAGCCAAAAGATCATAAAATTTAACACAGACTATATAAAAATCCAAAAATAACATGTGTGTGCACGCATGCGTGTGGTTAACAGAACAGTGATGCTCCCGCTGATGATGTCGAGGTTCCTGTGGAGAACAATTCATTCATGGATGATTTCTTCGCCCAGGTATACGGTCTGATCTATAAACAAAGAACTCGCGGTGTTTTGGAGTTGACAAACAATTCTTTAACATCTGGGTTTTTGTGCATTCCAGATTGAGGATATTCGTAACAGCATTGACAAGATCGACGAGAGTGTAGGCGAAATCAAAAAACTCTACTCCACTATCTTGTCGGCCCCAACATCTGACCAGAGTAATGCACACAAAAACACACAACAACAACAACAGACAATGTAAAGCTTAGAATTTTTTTTGCTAACCTTTAGTTATCTTTTATCTATCTATTTTTTTTTTTTTTTTTCTTTTGCTAACCTTTAGCTATCTTTTATCTATTTATTTATTTTTTTGCCAAAATGTCAGGTATTTAAATCTTGAATTTTAGTCATCTTTGGACAGATTCCTTGCCCTTCAGTTAACTCTAAGCTTTTTTTGGTAATATATATATCTTTTAATATATTATATATATTATTTTTTTTACCAATTTGTAGATGTTATTTTAATTCTTAGATACTTTTTGTTATGTCCAGCTAATCTTCAGCTATTTTTTTTTGAAAATGTTTTGTGTTACCTATAGTTATATAATGTACATTTTTGTCAATATTTTGATTTTAATAATGCTGTGTTGCTTAGGCAAATTTAATTTTGGCTGAACATTTGAACTACATTTGAACTCATTGTCACCATTGTCGTTGTTGTTAATGTTAGCAATCTCTTTCTATATGTCTCCGCCAGAAACACAAGACGGTGTCGAAACTCTGACTAATGAAATCAAGAAGGCGGCCAGCAATGCCAGGAACAAACTCAAGAGTAGGTGTTTGATTGCGTCACTCGGTTTTTCCTCATTCTTGTTCGGTAAATGTCATAGTTTTGTCGTGTTACAGGTATTGAGCAACAGCTTGAGTCAAACACGGACGAGCGAGCTTCGGCCGACCTGAGGATACGCAAGTCACAGGTCAGACAGCGTGATGTTGGCCCATATTTTTTATTTTAGATTATTTTTTGCGTGGCGCTTTGGCCCAGAGGCAATATTTTAGATTATTTTTTTGCAGATATATGTTTCTATATATTGTACTCCAATCAAGTTGAGTGTTCATGTAATGCAGCGGTTCTCAGTTATTTTCTGTCATGCCCCCCTTGGGCACAGAAATGTTTTTACGACCCTAGCCCCGACCCACAACCCAGTGAATTTAAATAAAATTGAGAACCTGATAACATGTATATTTGTATCTGTACGAACCACTGTGTGAGTTGCTGCCACCTAGTGACTGGAGGCTTGTTATCGTTTGCAGATATCTGTTTCTATATACTGTACTCCAATCAAGTTGAGTGTTCATGTAATGCAGCGGTTCTCAGTTATTTTCTGTCATGTCACAGAAATGTTTTTACGCCCCTATCCCCCGACCCACAACCCAGCGAATTTAAATAAAATTGAGAACCTGATAACATGTATATTTGTATCTGTACGAACCACTGTGTGAGTTGCTGCCACCTAGTGACTGGAGGCTTGTTATCATTCAAGTGTTACAGCAGTGGTACCACTTATGTCCCTTGTGCCATATTCCACTGGAAGCCCCTCACGTCCCCCCCACTATTTGAGAAGTACTGATATAATCTAAAAGTTGGACAATATTGGACAAAAGGACATGTAACTCATATATATACCTAAACATACTACCGGTAGTTCAAAACCTAATGTGTTTACGTGCCCTTTTATTTTTCTTAGCATGGCATTCTGGCCAAAAAGTTTGTAGAAGTGATGACAAAGTACAACGAGGCCCAGCTTGACTTTAGAGACAAGAGCAAAGGACGAATTGCTCGGCAGCTGGAGATCAGTGAGTAACTCCTGATTACAAACACAATGTATATTTTTATAGCACTGCCACAAAAAAAAAAAAAAGTTTGTTCATGATTTTTGTTCACAGCGGGGAAAGCAACAACTGATGAGGAACTGGAGGAAATGCTTGAAGGAGGCAACGCAGCTGTCTTCTCAGCTGGAGTAAGACAGACACAAGGAGAGAAATTACATTCAGATTTGAAAGATTGGGTTGATGAAAAATATTTATGAAAACTGACTCATCTCGTCTGGATGTAAGAAAATGGCTGGCCTCCAGACAGAACATAGCATCGTGCATCATCATCATTGAGCAGATGACCTTCAAATCGATGTTACAAGGGCATATAAAGACCACAAGATCTTTCCAAAATGGCAGAAATGCTATTAAGAAATGTTCTGTTCCATTGTCTTGGTGTTCTTAGTCTGTTTAATTAGTTTTCCCTGAGTGACTTTTTTTTCTCTCTTTGTCTTTCTAAGATCATGGCCTCAAACATCAACCAACAGGCACTCAATGAGATTGAGGCGCGCCATAAAGACATTATGAGGTTGGAGAGCAGTATCAAGGAGCTCCATGACATGTTTGTGGACATTGCCATGCTAGTCGAGAACCAGGTATCAAGATAGAACCTTCACCATCATGCCCCCCCCACCCCCTTGGGGACAGAAATGTTTTCACGCCCCTCCCTCCGACCAACACCACTGCGAATTGAAATACTATTGAGAACCTGATAACATGTATATTTTTATCTCGACAAACCACTGTATGAGTTGCTGCCACCTAGTGACTGGAGGCTTGTTATCATCCATGCAATACAGCAGTGGTACACTTATGTCCATATGCCATATTCCATTGGAAGCCCATGGCTCTTTTTGAGTTAACTTTTTAGCAATGTTTAGCAACTCCTGAGCTAGATTTATCCTAAGGCTAATTTTTTTTTTTTTTTTTTTTCTTTATTGCATGACTCCTTATTACACAACTCCTGACAGGTTTAAACGCAATGTACATGTTGGTTCAAATTTTGAAGTAGACATGTCTTTCCTGCCTTTTGATCATCAATCTTTCCTATATGTGTTGTCTTACTCATCACCAGGGTTGCATGATTGACAGGATTGAGAGCAACATGGACCAATCAGTGGGCTTTGTGGAGAGAGCGGTGGCCGACACTAAGAAAGCAGCCAAGTTCCAGCAGGAGGCACGCAGGGTAAGTAGACCCAAGACACCCAGGTTTTCTCTGTTTTAATAAAAAGCTGCCAAATGTTATCATTACTAAAAGGGGAAAAGGCCTACCAAGAAATCTTGTCAGAAGCAACTTGAGAAAATTATTATATTAGAATGATGTAAAAATGCACCAAATAATGTGACATTTATTGAAAACGTTCCTCAGTGTGAACCAAATATACAACAAATTAGCTACAGAATTAGAGGTAAATCATATCTAAATTTATCATTACAAAAAACAAGTTAACAACTATTTAAAAAAAAAGGCCCAATGTAGTTAACTTCTTAGCTAATGGTAAACATTAGCAAACGCAAAAAGACGCTGAAAGATAATTGTTTGCTCAGAAATTGTAAAAATCACAACCACAAATAGCTCAATTGAACACATGACACCGACTCTGTGCCTCTGCTTCCTGCTCCCTTCTGTCCTTTAGAAACAAATGATGATCTTCTGCTGCTGTGTGATTCTCGTCATTATCTTCGGCTCATTTATCTACAGCTTCATCAAGTAGAAATGCTGCCTTCACATCCGTGTCATTTGTGTATTTACAACTTTGTTGTTTGTTTGTTAATGTGTGTTTTCTCTGCTTTTTTCATGTAGTGCATTTCTTCCCAACTAACTTAAGGTCATGGCCTGACTCTTGCTCATTTTTGTTAAAACCTAACACCTCTGATGTCAAATATGTGGCGTTCGGGCTGGTTAAAGGGCCTGCAACTACACCTCTGATGTCAAATATGTAGCATTCGGGCTGGTTAAAGGGCCTGCAACTAGGACGTACAGTATGTGATATTCAAGGGGCTTTGTAAAACAACTTTTTTTCTTAGAATACTTAGAATAGTTAGATCTTTTACTTTAAGGTCAGAGCTCCTGTTTCCTGGATTCTGGGAACTGTTGCTGGGACGACTGGTAGCTAGCTTGGCTGCAACAGATCTCAAAAAGTTTCAAAGGCTGACTTTTTTTTTCAAATGATCAAATGAAAAACAAATGATTGGAGATGCAGAACAAAAAAAACACCTCTTAATTGTTTACGTTTTAGCATTGGTATTTTTTACAGGTATTTTTACGTTGTGTTTTACATTTATTTATGTAATAGCGTAGGAGTTGAAATTTTTTAAAATAGCTGCTACTTATTTGCGGATGTAATAACAACTCTAACGTACAATTTTGAATGTTCTATGACTTTGTAGTTTGTAGGACGGAAGGAAGTTTTCTGTTCTTCCATACATGTTTTTATAGCGCTGTTTAAAATAAAATAAATATGTTATTTTTCTGTGTACCTGGGTGATCACTTGAAATGTTTAAACAACAGTTAGTCTAGAATTTAGAATTATGTATACGACACTCGAGGTGTTTATTTACTAAATCAAGCATGATTCTTCCAAAATGTATTTTAAAGATTCACACATCCTTTAGATTCCATGACAACATATGAAAGAATTCCCTTGGTTTTCGGACTTTTCACTCAAGACAGAATTTTGACTTTAATCTCAGAGTTCTTGGTTCTAAGTTCCTGGCCCTTACAATACTGTAATTCTACATACAGTCCTAATTTACAAAACAGATCCTTTGTTATTATATTGGGAACACAATGCAGCAGTGAGGTGTCAGGAAACCAAATACAGATGTAATACAACCAGGGACAGTCAACCTAATATCACACAGACCAACACAACTAATGTAATCACCACGGTACATTAAGTAGTCTGCACTGAGGATAGCTATATTGGGTTATATACATGGTTTATGGAGTGGACAGGATAACATTTTCATGAGGCAGGCATAACGTGTGTGGCTTTGTTCTACTCAGTAAATGTCCTGTTCATCACAAAAGAATTTGGTCATTTTTTATATAAAATTTTCTATAGAGATATTATTGTGGATTAGTCGAGGGTTTATATAGTCAACAAAAATATCCTATTGCACCTAACTGTACTAAATAATAGAGAAGCTATTATATGCTTTTGTAAGCTGGCCTCTTGCCGTATTCTTCCTGCTGTTTGACCGACATGTTTTAGCCACCAATCACAGGCGCCGTGCAACACGCGGTGGCCAATCAGCGGTGGCTTTGTCATAGCAAACTTCCATGTATGGAGTCGCAGCCACTTCCTCGTTCGGGTGAAGGTAACAAAACGTGTCCCCGCGATGTGAGGTTCTCAAGGAGGAAATAACGGGACGCAGAAGAGGTCACACTTCTCGGATTAACACGGGCAGACGGAATCGGACGGACCAGTGCTCAAAATGGGGGTAAGGAAAAAAAACACGTTATTTAACAGGCAATCCGATAGTTTTAGAGTGATGACCAGGTTTATTCGGAAGAGGCGGTGGGCGGCCTCCAATTTGTTGTATCGGTGCCTGATTTGTCACGTTTACTGACTGACGGCATGTCTGCCCAATAGCTCTTGCCACTGAGATACGTCACCCACTAAGATTTCGAGGTCGTTATTCAGTAGTGCTGGTATTAGACGTTCGTTATCACTTCGTGCACGCCCAAAACACTTTTCGTCCAATTACAGCGCTATGCATTTGTTGCGTAAAGTGACACCTGCCGTCGTCCAATGAGGACGCATCATGCGCCTCTACGGTTGGCCCAGTGGGGGTTTGAGGCGGGACGTAGTGGTGTGTTGTGCTGGAATCGAAAATGGCGGCTGTTCAGAGACTGCTTCTGCGCGAAAGTATCTGACTGGTAACAACAATGCAGGCGCATGAGTACTGTCCAAAGATAATGAAAACGTTTTTAATTTAAAAACATATAAATGGGTAACAGGTAGAATCTTGCGGCCAAAACATGTGTAAAGTTTGGTTTAGGAAAGGGGTGAAAAATAAAGCGCGAGTTTACAAACAGTGTCGATGCTATGCTAATAATAACAATGCAATAAATTGTTAACAATGGTCACGTTTTCTCATTTATACATCTTTAAATAATAGGACTTGTGCCCGCGGGTAGTAATGCAATGACATTCATTGGGTCATTTAGTGTGTGTCCCATTCGTTTTGGTGACTTTTCTGGAGTACTGAACTTTTGACTCGGTAAAAGCTCACCCGTGAACAAGCGCCTTCTCCAGGCACAGACGCGCTCTTCGCGTCTCATGTATTGAACACAATCTTGTAGCTTTTCCGGGTGATAATGGATGATTCCAAGCCTCGGTACAGCAAAAGACTGGTGAGTATCAAGTCTCTTTCTTGTGTTTAACCGAGGGTGCCCTAAATAAAAGCACAACAGTGAAAACGTTGAAAAAACACACCAACAATTATAATTTTAAATTTAGTTTGAATTTAACGTCTACAAACACTGGCAAAACGGTAAGGGATCTTATGTGCATGTGGAGATCTGACGATATCCACATGCATGTCACTTTTTTGTGCAAAATCACTTTATGTAATTTAGTAGTAAAGTAGTGGATGTTGACCTTAATATAAGTCATTTTCATACAAACATTGAAGAACCCTTGAGAAATGGTTATGTTTGTTGCCAGATCAATAAAGAATGAAAAATGAGTGCCGTGATATGGGCTGATCTGTTCATCTCTAATTCCAGTTGTTGAGCGACATACCCTCAGTGACCTTCACTGTTGTTTGCGTTTTTCTAAAAGTGTTTGAATAAGTGGAGTTTGTGCGTTGCTTGTCCCAAAAAAAAAAAAATGTTTAAATAGTGGAGTTTGCGCGTTGCTTGTCCCAAAAAAAAATTTTTTTTCTTAATACTCGGAATTGCAGCTATGAGATGAAATAATATTAATTGGTCTTGTTTTCCAAATTCAAACAAGGCTGTAAAAACTAATTAAAGTAAATAACAAAGTTTACAGTACATCTTTCAGATTGTTGTTCCTAGTGGTATTAACATTCTTCCACTATCCAATCTGTTTTGTGCTCCTTTCCAGCGGACTGGTACCCGGCGGCGTTACCACGATGATGCCATTTCTGATGAGGAGATTGATGGAAGAAGAATGTTTGATCTGGAGGAGAAGGTCACCAGCGATAGGTTCAGCTCTGACCGTGTTGTTCGCATGGAAGGAAAAGGTGGGTGAGCTCAGGAAGGAAGTTTTTATATCACTCTTCTGTGGAAAGTCTTTGTAAACATTAACATAAATACCTCCATCAGTTTTATATCACTCTTAAACATTAACTCGTAAACATTAACATAAATACCTCCATCAATACATTATACACGTATTACTAGTAATATAGCTTTCATGAAGCCAGAAGTTTCTTTCCTAAGTCCTAATGGTTAACATCTTAACCTAGACTTTGTTGTTTTTTTTTTACTTATTTATTGTATATTATAATTATTAGAATCTTTTTCTGGCAGTTTTTTATTTGCAGCTGCTTTGACAGCTAAGCAAAGACACTGTGACAATTGAATGTAGTTTTAAAGCCACAAAGGTCAAAAGATAAAACAGCCTTTTATCAGTTATTGTTACTGTGTGTCATATTTGCACTTAGACTTCACCTACGAGTTCATCCAGAGATGTGGTCTGAGGGAACCCATCATCTTTGACAAGCCAGATGGACTTGGACTAAAGTAGGCATTTTCCGTTCGTCTCCGTCATTTACTGACTTTAGCATAACATGCTCTAATAAATAAAATAACAAAAATCTTATCTTGTGCCTGTTTTGTAGGATGCCTGACCCTGACTTCACTGTCAATGACGTGAAGACTTTTGTGGGTAAGATGTTACACACAAACATCTACATTTTTAACCCATTATTCCTATACTCTGTCTTAGCACTTATCATTGACCTCTCTACAAACACTGCCTCACCAGGTAGCAGACGTATGATAGATGTGATGGATGTAAGCACTCAGAAGGGGACAGAGATGTCCATGGCACAGTGGACACGTTACTATGAGACACCACCGGCTCAGAGAGAGAAACTGTACAATGTCATCAGTCTGGAGTTCAGCCACACCAAGCTGGAGAACCTGGTCAAGAGACCCACCACGGTACATCCACAACGCAGGATGATGATTTATGTTATCATCTAAAAATTGATCTTTTTTTTTTATCTTAATTCCACATTTGTTCCATGTTGAATTTTTTATCAAAATCCATCTTAATTCCACATTTGTTCCATGTTGTTGTTTGTCATAAGGTGGACCTGATTGACTGGGGGGACAAGATGTGGCCACGTCACTTGAAAGAGAGACAACGAGACTCCACAAATTCTATCAACGACATGCAGTACCCCAAAGTACAAAAGTAGGTTCTCCGTGTTTTTCCACTTTGCATTTCACTTGGTAAACAATAGTAAGTATAACATATAATGTACTTTTTAGAATCTTGATAACATGTTTCAGCATTGCAGTATGACTTAAGATAAAATATATTATATTTGTTTGCAGGTATTGTCTGATGAGTGTGGAGGGCTGCTACACAGACTTTCACATCGACTTTGGAGGAACCTCAGTGTGGTATCACATACTGAGAGGAAGCAAGGTGGGAACATAGATGGGCTGAGTCTGGGTTTGGGAAATTCTGTTTTATTTTTTTTCCTTAGTTGTTTGTGAAGGCACTGTGCTATGTCTTCAAAGAGAAAATTTCTTGAAAATTCCTTGAACCGCTTGAAGGCACTGTACTATGTCTTCAAAGAGGAAATTTCTTGAAAATTCCTTGAACCGCTGATTGTGATAATGCAGTTGTGTATTTATATATTCAGGTCTTTTGGCTGATCCTGCCCACCCCTCAGAACCTGGAGATGTATGAGAACTGGGTGCTTTCAGGGAAACAGGGCGACATTTTTCTTGGAGACCGAGTGTCAGACTGTCAGAGGATTGAACTAAAGCAGGGCTGCACCTTCATTATACCCTCAGGTACCTGGCATTAGCTCTTTGTTAGTGTAAAAACTTATAAAAGATCATTTGAGTGATGTTAGTAGTCGACAGGTAGCGGTGACGTCTTAAATGTTCTAAATGTGTTGCACTCAGGCTGGATTCACGCCGTTTACACTCCTGTTGACTCCATGGTGTTTGGAGGAAACTTCCTGCACAGCTTCAACATCCCCATGCAGCTGAACATCTGTAATATAGAAGATCGAACACGGGTAAGAATGAAAACATTCACCAGCTTCATACAGTTAAATTCCTGTTTTTCTGTGTTTTTTTTAATACATAATGTTTTTCTGTGTTCTCTGAAGGTTCCAGTGAAATTTCGTTATCCCTTTTACTACGAAATGTGCTGGTACGTCTTGGAGCGTTACGTCTACTGTCTTACCAAGACCTCCTACCTAACGCCAGAGTTTCAGAAACACTCCTTGGGTATTGGTACGTCAAAGAAGAATAAACTTTTTTTTCTTATCTCGTTCCCAAACCACTCTAATGTAAAACATGTTGAAAGTCTTAATACACTCTTAAAATTTTTTTGTGTATGTTTCATTTCGACCACTTTTTTCACATTTTCCTTTTTTACTAATTTTAACAATTAGTGTGTAGGCTTGTGTGATTGATCATCATTAAAAACTGTTGTCACTTTCTGATTACTATGAGTAGTGCCGCATGATTAGTTTTGCCAAAATTCCTTCTGTAAACTTCTGTATTTAAAAAAAAAAAAAAAAAATGCGTCGCGTTGAGCTGAAAAGGGATGCACTTTATCACGTATAATTGTGAGAATTGAAAATAGCCTGCAAGTTGTCAATGGAATTAATGAATAACAAGGCGCTATGAAAATGTACTGTGTCCTGGAATTAATTATTTTTAATTTGCGTATATGCAATGTTATTTAAATTTGAAATAATCACTGATGTGACTTTTTTTCTTAACTTAACTATACGTCATGTTTAATTTCTATGTCTGATTAAAGAAGTTAGTTCAACTGATGTTTGTAAGAATCATTATAGAACACGGGGTAACCGTGATGCAAGTGCAAAGATCTATTAATCGTCATATTAACTGTTACATGCAAAATGAAAATAATTAAAATGATTAATCTTTCTGACAGTTTCGCCCAACCCTGTTAGTGTGTTAACTTCTATACTTTTACCTTTTCTAATCACTTTTTAACCTACATTTTACATTACCGCCTTATCATGATAAGAGACTACAAATGGTTTTGTGTTTTTGACTGATGGTATGGTTGCAACATAAAATGTCACTCCCGTCCTCTGTCAGGTCTTAAGAAGCCGAGCTCCTCTGATCCTCTTGAGCAGGTGAAGGTAGAGGAGGGTGAAGATAGTGAAGAGGAGGAGCAGTGTGAAAAGACTGCAGCTAAGACTCACTTGACTCCATTTGAGCTGGAGGGACTGTGGAACCTTTTGGGAAAGCTGGAGTCTCTGCCCTCCAGTAAGAAGTGTGTTCCAGCAGGGATTCACAACGCTCCAGCACTCATGACACATATCAAGGTACAACTCACAGTAACTATGGTGTTTGTGTCGATTTTACTTCAGTATTGCTGGTTCAGTACTTTTATCATGATTCATGGAATGCATCATGTTCACTGTGATTGTCCTCTCACCTCTTCGTCTTTGTGATGTTCTGCAGGCTCTTCTCAAAGAACATGCTAACGATAATCCCAATCTGTCCTACAACGGAAAACCCATTGTCAAATGGCCAAAGAGGGTAAGCACATTTAAAGTTGGCTGTTTTTAAGGGCCAAACACTGAAGCCTCATTTATGCTTCCTTCGTGTATGTAAATAGATGTGTCTGGTTTAAATATCACTATCCATATACAGCAGTGGAAAAATGTCTTAACACGACGTTTCCCCGTATCACAAGGAAAAGCTTGCAATAGTTGCTCACTCGTAACTTGGAAAACTCCTTTTTCGGGTAGCTCGTATCTCAGGGCCCCACTGTATATTGAGATTTGTTTCTTTTTTTTCGACACATCAGCCTTTTTGGTATCAGCCTCCACCTACCCCACCTCCTCCAGCACGTCCTAAATTGGCCACAACACCCATCATACCTCGACCACAGAAACCAGCTTCTTCCATGTCTGTGCTGAGGCGACGCAGAGTCAGGTTGGTGAGAAAAGAGAGCTACTGAGAGAGATCACCGTGCTGTACGACACATATATATCTTTACAGTTCATCCATGTTTTGTCTGTCTTTCTGAAGGTGTAAGCGCTGTGAGGCTTGTATAAGATCCGAGTGCGGAGAGTGCAACTTCTGCAGAGACATGAAGAAGTTTGGAGGACCAGGGAAGCTCAAGCAGACCTGCGTGCTACGACAATGTCTGTCTGTAAGTCGGGCTCGCTGTCCCGTAAATCAGCCGTAGAAACTATCACGAAGCTCAGGTATCGAGGCATAGTGCGTGTAGACCGTATGCGTATGGATGTCCCTGTAACCTGCCCTCTGTCACTTTCAGCCTGGGCTCCCCCTGTCTGCGGTGTGTGAGATCTGTAAGGAGCCCAATCAAGAGGATAGTGGAGATCCTTCTCTTATCCTGATGGAGTGTTCCAACTGTGCACAGATAGTCCACCCTGCCTGCCTCACGGTACAACACAGTTTAGATGGAGTAGAACTGAACACTATTCATATACTGCATGTACCAGTATAGTGGTATCGGAGTGTACCAACATTTTTTAAAAATAGGGTTTGAAAAGTTGCTGACTGTTTCCCCCCCAAAACTTTTGCTGAATTATTTTTAAATGAAACTTATATAAAGTTTTCTTTTAAAAAACTTTTTTAAAATTTTTTTTTAAAATTTAAAAAAAAAAAAAAAATTCTCTCTTAAACAATTTTTTAACTGCAAAAAAAAGGAATCAGAGCTAAGAATTGGGACATTATGCATTACTGTGGTACACTGTGACAAGAGGCTTGTGAAGTTTGCTCTTTTAACAAGTTAACATTTGTTTTTGAAGATTCCCGGTGAAGGACTGGTGAACAAAGACCTGCCCAGTTGTTGGGAGTGTCCAAAGTGTGTCCAAGGAATCAATGACGCAGAGGTATACACACACACACACACACACACACACGCATCAACTCAAGCACGACAAGCTTTTTAAAAGTTCGTTCTAGTGATTTTCTTTTCCCCTCAGCTCAACATGCAGCTTTTTTTTTTTTACTCTGTGGCTTGTAACACCTAAACAATAAGGTTTATTTATAATAGCAGTGCCATACGGTAAGTGCAGGAGTTTTTGAGAGGAAGACTATTAGGTACTAATTATTAATTATTAGTATTAGAGTATTAGTACTAGGGCAGATCAGTACCTGAGAGTTTTTTTCTAATTAGCTAAACAACCTGGCTTATAATTGGGGGAAAAAAAATGTAAGGGCTGCCTCTTTGTTGTCTGACAGTGTACTGTATGATAATTGCAGCTACTGATGAAAACTACAGATCACAAATAATGAAGACTCGCTGCAATGGAAATGAATTGAAAATGGAGATGAAGATGTTTATTAGAAAGGTTTCAATATTCCAGATCATCTCCATAACATTTTTTGTCAACTGCTTGATGGTCTTTGATTGTCTTTGCAGACATGTGACTTAGTAACTTATTTTTTTAATTTTTTTTTTTTTTTTTGGTGCCTTTGGTTTTGTTTTCCTTCTTTTTTTTTTGTTTTAATTTAACTACGTTAGTCATCAGGCAGTGATGAATTGTTGGCTGCCAGCCACCAGCAGCACATCCGGCCCCACGGTCCCCTGGTCCTCAGACTGGGCCCCGGGCCCTCTGCTACCACAGGGGGTTCTGTGGGATCCCAGCAGGATGGGGAGGTGGTTCGCTGTGGCTTCTTCCCTCCTCCTCCTCCTTCTACTACTACTACTGCTTCTACTCTTCCTTCCTGCTCTTCCTCCTCCTCCTCCTCCTACTCCTCAGCATCACTTCTATTGGTGGCGGCCCCTCTTCCCTCTCAGCCAATCAGCTCGAGACTGGTGAGAGGCGCCGCCTGCTCTTTGTATTTCTCCACCCCTCTGATCAGACATGTGCACGACACCCCTCCGTTACATCTTTAATTTGCTGTCGACTTCAGCTCAGGCTGCTCTCATTGCCTTTTACTTTCTTTTTTTAGTCATTGAAAAATATTTTCTTTTCAGAAGGATTGAACAAGACCTTTTTGTTCTTTTTGGATCCTTCTTCTTTTTTGTTTCCTTTTTATCGAGACTGGTTTGATAATTTAACAAAGCAAATCATTAAAGACTAAAAGATCTCCATGGATGTGTTGAAAGTGGATGTCTGTATGAGCTTTTTTCCAAAATTGAAACCAAAACACAGATGCTGTGTCCAGATTTAAATACACTTTACAATGTAATAGGTATCGCTAGTAATAGGTAAATGAGGTTCAGCTACAATATGGTAAGAGTTTAAAATGTGAAGCTATATATTCACACTTAAACACTGTGTAATGGTTACTATAATATATCTGTGTCTACATACATATGCGTATGTATTAGGAATGCAACAACACATGTATCTGTATGAAACCATTTGTTGCAGTGGTACATGTCTTACACATCTGTATGAAACCATTTGTTGCAGTG